AATTTTTCAAAAAAAATACCTCAACATACTAGTAAGTCGTATCAGTTATCAATTATATTACATCATTTCAATTCGTTTACAAGACATATCAATTCAAATTTTTATTTCACGTTTTTATAAGAAACTCTTGTCAATTTCCTTGTCATCTTTGATGGTGTGAAATCTTTTACAATATTAATTCACACGGTGTGAATCTTTCACAGCATTGAGTTTCACTCAGTGTGAAATGGTTCAAGATGAAAGATTTCCAACTTGTAAGAATTATGAATAGTTCAATAAAATTTCAATTTATCAAAAATTAATAATCATTCTGCAACGTCATTGGAGACACTTTTTGAGACGTCATTGAGGACGCTTTTTTTGACGTCTTAATGACTCTCAAATTGACACCGTCAAAATGACGAAAAAAAACGTCATTTTGACGTCCACAACACCGTCCCAATGACACCTTAACAAGCATAAACAAAGGCGTCATTCATGACTATAAAATCGTCAAAACATGCGTCAACAAAAATGAGCGGGAGGTTGACTTTTGACGATTTTTGTGAGCTGGAAAGTAACGTTTGTCTTTATGACCTATAAATTCCTGTCTAATAAATTCATTACCTTTTTAATTTTGGTGAGTTTTCACCTTGTTGGTGTATTCATCATTCACCATATATTTTCATCATGATGATTGAATTTCAACAACATAGTATCATTAGTAGGGATGTCTAATATCACCATCAAGAGAGTTGGAATTGTTCCACTTTGTATTCATAGAGTTGTGGAATTTTCACTTCATCATATCTTTTATCATCAGCAAGTTCGCTTCCGATCATTAAGGCCAATATCTTAATGGTCATCATCATCACACCATCACTAACAGTGAATTTTCCAACATGGTAAATTTCAAGGTAGGAAATCTTGCTGATTTTCAAACTTGATACACAACAATTTTCAATAAATTTTCAATTTGTTTTATTCTTGGTGTGTTTATTTCAATCTACATTAAATTGCTTTGCTCACATTCCACCATTCATTGTTTAAATAATAAAATTAGTAGATGATGTCTTTTCGAAAAGTTTTTTAACATTGATTCAATTATTTAAGAATGCTCAAGGAGAAGATGTACATTCGAAACGTTTCGAACTAGAATAATATTGAATTTATTTCTGAACTTTTTTGAAGGCCAAGTACAAAAAAAATGTACAATAATTGGACTTCATCACCAACCTCTGCACTTCCTTCACTTTTCAATATAAGCTCATCACCAACTGCTAACTCACCTACACTTTCCAATAATGTTTCGGATGAAATATTTCACTCTATTTATACTGCTAGAGCTGCCATTTGTGATCAGGATTTGGAAACTTTGAAAAGTCTGAAACTTCATTTGATCATCAATAATAATTCGGTACTGGGAGAAACAATATAA